TAATCTAAATGAGGTAAAAAATAGGCATTATATAATTTGACTTTGGCATCAGTATTAATTAGTTTCTTATGTCTTTGTAAGACTTGAATTTGCTTGCCAACCTTCCGTGCTATCTCTGTAATGTGTTTGCTGAATTTTAAATCTCTATCGATAGTTAAACACGTTTAGGTTCCAATTGCCTAGGGTGCTTACCATTTACCAGGAAAAACCGGAAATTCCGATTGGACTGACAAATGGTATAAATCAATCCGATCAGAAAGTTCCGAAAACTCGGTCTTACGATCACGGAGGTAATCCACTTTTCCCGTTTCGGTTCTTTCGGTAGACGCGTGTACCGTTGTTCGAAAGTCAAAGTTTCCCGCTCTTTTCTTACAATAAGCGAAAACATTTCCACTGAACCGAATTGATTGGTTTAAACGCTAACCACTTCTTGTTCATTTTATCCAGCCTGGTCAATAGCTGTCCGGTCTCCCCAGTCCTCCCCCAAGATATGAAACTCGGTAATGTCAGGGAGGTAACGTCCTGGACTAGCCTCCTCCGCAGGCTACTCAATATTTTCTATATTCCCTGTTGGGATCCCTGTATTAAATTTTGTGGCAGAGGGTCTTTTTTGTCTTCGCTACAGGAGCAAAAAGAGCCAAGGAGGCTAGTCCTTGACTTATTTTAGAATAAAGGACAGGGCGGAACGTCCTGATAAAAGTTTAGCCTTCTCGCATTTTCTCCACAACTCATTTACTCTATTTTGGAGCATTGTTGCGCTTTATAGCATGTATGATGGATGTCCTTATCACTCGAATACGGCGGCCATCTTGAATTATATACGATGCCGAGGTGTTTAACCGTAGAAAATTTATAAAGCATAGTGGCGGGGTTATGTTTTCAAATAATTTATAGTCCGTGTGCATAGATAGATATGATAGATAGATAAAAACTAATCAGTAACTCACAATACGCATAAACGTGCATGTTTCACATATTCTTCCAAATTCAAGATGGCCGTCGTATCGGTATAAAAGGTCGATTCAAGGCGTTACCTTTAATGGCATGATTGTCTGTTGATTCTCAAGATTGGCGAGTCAAAAAGAAGCATCCTATCCTCGTTCACGTCAGGTTACATCTTGAATCTGGTTTCAAACGACGCACAACGAATGGAGCAATTTGTGATGGCATTTCCAAAGTTATTGTCCCTGCTCTGGTTCTTGTCTTTAATCGCCGTGTCTATGGTCTTTCTGGTTGGTTGGCAATCATTATATGGTATGCTGGTAATAATCTTGATCCTGGTATTGGTCTTGTATCTTTCGTATGTCTTCGCTAATCTTAGACGCATTCAAAGTGGTAAAACAGACAAGCGACTGGGAGCAATTAGTGAGATTATATCTGGGATAAGAGCCTTGAAGATGTACGCATGGGAATGGAACTACAAAAACGAAGTTCAAAAGTTAAGACGGTAAGTTATATAGAGCTGTACACGGTATGGTTTGATGTTATTTGTGGTGTGGTGTGGTATGGTGTAGTGTGGTGTGGTATGGTGTTATGTGGTGTGATATTGTGTTATGTGGTGTGGTGTGTTGGGGTGTGGTGGGGTGGGGTGTGGCATGATTCAATTATTATGAAACGTGGTATGGTGTGATATGTTGTAGTATGATATGGCATGGTACATATCATGGTATGACATACCCTTTTTATTTTGCAGGGACGAGGTAAATACGCTTCAATTAAAAGCCTTTGTGTTGTCAATGGTGAACTTCACACAGTTCACAGTCAAATACTGGGCAACACTTGTATCTTTGATCGCTCTTTTCTACTCTGGTATCCACCTCGATACATCTGAGATCTTTACACTCACCATACTCCTAGCTATTGGAGRCCAGAGTCTAGAAGCAAGGATAGGATCAAGTGCAAGGAACTTTCGAGATGGGATCATTTCCCTAATCAGGCTAGAAAAGTTCTTGGGTACATCTTGTGGACCTAGAACAGCTGGTCTTGGCAATGAAGTTCATGTTTCTCATCACCAAGCTAAAAACTTAGTACACAGCAAAATGCTTGCAAAAGGATCAAGAATATTCGACGACGTCCCTGGTATTACCCTTACAGAGGTTTCTGCTGCCTGGAACGTTGACCAGCAATGTGTTTTACATAATGTATCTCTGAGTGTGGAATCCAACCAACTAATGATCATCACCGGTCCAGTTGGCAGTGGAAAGACTTCCTTACTTATGGCAATCCTCGGAGAAATTCCTAAAATAAGCGGAGAAATACAAACAAGGGGGCGTATAGCTTACGTAAGTCAAATCCCATGGATCTTTTCTGGCACCATTCGCGAGAACGTCTTATTTGGTCAACATTTTGATGAAGCTCGGTTCAACAGGATTCTAGAGATCTGTGACTTGCAGAAAGACATCAAATCCTTTCCTGAGGGGGACTTGACAATCATTGGTCAAAGAGGTGTTGGACTCAGTGGTGGCCAGCGGGCAAGAGTCAGCTTGGCACGCGCAGTTTATTCAGATGCCGACGTCTTCTTATTAGATGATCCACTGAGTGCCGTTGATGTCCGCGTTGGCCAGCATATCTTTGACAGGTGTATATGTGGAGAGCTATCAGATCGAGTACGAATCTTGGTCACGCATCAAACACAACATCTAGAGCGAGCAGACAAGATTTTGTTCATAGCTGAAGGTTTTATTCAACAAGAAAGTTACCCTGCTTTAAACAATAATATACTTCTAAAGAACCAATATGAGCAGCTACTTCGATCTACTGGAAATTTCGACGTTGGCCAAGAGAAATTCATCGACTCTGTTCAAAGAGATATGACTGAAGACACGGGCGATCAAGATTTGAGAGAATCCGATGAAGAAAAGGCAAGTGGTACCGTGTCATGGAGGCTGTACTGGGAATTCCTCAGGGTTGGTTTACCGGCTGTGCTTATAGGATGCCTAGTGTTATTCTGTATAGTAGTACAAGGTAAGGAATAGAGTATTTTTAGGCTGCGTTTGTACGGCACCGGACGAATTTTTAAACTGTCAAGAAGTTGTACGTTTAGGGTTCCGTTCACACGGGACTGAGCTATCCAAACAAATATTCATACGCCTAGCCTATAAACATAACGTTTTTTTTTTATAGAATTAATTGCCCATTTCAGATCACATGACATTCCCTTGAGAATTGTTCTTTTATGACGAACATTTTAAAATATTTACACATGAAAGAGTTAACTCCCAAGAGTGACACCACATGGTCTGAAATGTGCACAACAAACAACGAAGCTATACAGGTCTATTAGTCGCTATATTTTGATTCGGTGTATAGCTTTACCGGCAAAACATATCAGCATTGTATTCAAGGAGAAACGATTGTTAGTCGAAAACTCGTTGAATCGCGCAAACAGATTAAACGTAAAGGCAAAAATTTGGAGCAGTTTTAGCTTGACTGTAAAAGCTCAGTGCCATAAGTGTGCCGTGCCGTGACCGTTATACTTTCTAGAATTTTAATTGGCTGATTTTTTTCTCGCACAATGTGATTGGTCTGACAGTGCCGTGGCGTTAGCGTGAGCGTGTCCGTGCAGTGTTTGGCAGTGTTCCGCGTAGTTGATTGGATGAAGAGTAAAATATCGAGCAACGTGATTGGTCTGGCGTATGCCTTACCGTTTCACGACCGTGTTCGCGCCGTAAGCTTTTCACAGCCATGCGAAATCTGCTCTATATCTGCCGTGTTGTTGATGATAATCGCACATATGGGCCAAACTGTTGCGTTTGAATGAAAGTTGTTTTAGATCTTGATCAGATTTTGTACAGAACCCTTTGGTGAATTCCGGGTGTTTTTTTTTTCTTCTAATCTCTTGGAAATACAGGTCGATTTTTAATAACGAAGTAGAAAGACACACAAAAATCCTTATACGGAACTAACTTGCTATTAATGTTTTTTTTATATATATATATATATAGCGTCATTGCTCATTCCAAGTTGGTGGTTGTCACGGATAGCTGACATGCCTTTTGAGGAGCAAAAAAATCCACAGACGTTGGGGATCTTCGGCGGTTTAACAGCCTTTGCATTCGTCTTATCATTGGCCCGAGATATTTTCATTTTTTTCGCTATTTTGAGATCGACGAGGAAGCTTCACGACAAGATGACACTGGCTGTTATCAAGTCTCCTGTTCTGTTCTTCGATACCAATCCCGCTGGACGAATAATGAACCGTTTTTCCAATGACATCGGGAATATGGACGATCAACTGCCATTGCGGTTTGCTCTTGCAGTCGCATTTACCACAGATATCATCGGGGTTTTTATCCTTGCTGTCGTGGTAAATCCGTGGATTGCATTATCAGTGTTACCTATTCTAATGGTTTTTTACCTCATTACGACAATCTATATCAAAAGTGCACGTGAGCTTAAGAGGATGGAGGCGATGCGGTGCAGCCCTGTGTATGCACACGTGGTTGAGACAATCACTGGATTGGAGGTCATCCGTACATCAGGCAGAGAAGAGGACTTTGTAGACAAGTTGTTCAGGTATGTTGCACGACGTTTTTCGATTCGCATTCGATACGAGAGATAAATCTTTGCGCGAGGAATTGCTTGTCTTTGTATCGCTATAGCATTTTTTACGACTGTTAAAACAGTTTCCCTTTTCCGTATTTTCCGTGCGTCCATAGCAGATGAATATACACCAGTTTCGCATTTGATGTATACCGCTGTTTTTTGGAGACCAGAGACTCATTTGTTCATCTTCAGCATCGTTTATATGTCATTATAAAATAACTGTTATGAATGTCGCGTTCTGATTGGTTTGGAGCGCGTGCTTTATGAGAGCACATTGCACGCGCGCGCACTTTCCGTTGCGTCCTTCCTATCTAAAATAACGGTTATTGTATTTTGTATTTTATAAAAGAAATATAAAATATATATATATAAAATATTGTAAAATATAAAATATATAAAATATATATATATATAATATTGTATTTTATAAAAGAAATATAAAAAATATATATATAAAATATATATTGCTTGCTGTGCTGTGTGCCGTTATAAAGCACTTGGGAATTAGCAGAACACTGGAGAAGTGTCCAGAAGCACTCCGCTACGCGTCGTGCTTCTCCTAACACTTCTCTCGAGTTCTGCCAATCCCCGCGTGCTTTATGATTGCACACAGCACGCGCGCGCGTTTTCTATTTTTTCAGCTATTCAAACATACCATAAAAATCTGTGCAATTTCGAAACATGGGTATTATTCAACTTGTGTTTTCTTCACATAACAGTTGTTGACTTTTTCAAGTGGTTTGTTCTTAAACGAGGCTAATCCTGTTCAAATGAGTCTTTAGTCATGAAACAGCGGTATTTACTAAATGAGAAAAGGGGCTATTCCATGTCCAATCACGGCGCATTCTGATTGGATGAACGTTACGTCATTGCGACCATGTTTCGTGGTGGTGTCTTACAAAAGATTTCTCATTAGCATGTGCATGTGACGTCAAAGCAGTTCGATCTGGGGAACAAAACAAAAGAATTCCAATCTCATGAGAATTAGAACCTATTGTTTTGACCTCCAGATTGAGCTGCATTCCAAAGTGCTGCAAGGGCTCTATACCAACAACATGGCCGCCATGTCTTTGTAAGTTGACTCTCTTGAAAATGATTGCAAATCATCAACATCATGTCTTCAGAGTGGTGCGATAAGCTTAAGGTATTCATTCATCTAACGAAAGTATCTTTTTACAGTATTCAAGATGATTATACCAAGGCATTCTTCCTGGTTACATCAAGCGTTCGATGGTATGGTTTAAACCTGGATTTGCTGTGTGGTGTTTTTAACGTAGCGGTAGCTATTGCAGGAGTTACTGTCATACAAGACCCTGGTAAGGAATCTCCAAAAATCTTCAAAACACGTTTGATTATTTCATTGCAACTTTTGAAGCTCAAAAATAATCCATCCATGCTTTTGTGGTGGTGAGATTGTATTGAAGTTGAATTTCGGTTGGAAATAAAGGCTTCTGCGTGTAACTTAGAGAATTCAGGCACTAGTTATTAATAGTGATACTTCATGTTTACTTGTGATCAAAACCATTTTCAAAAAATCTCATCACAAGTTGCTTTGTGTCACCAGCCAATCGATCTCTGGTTGGTACATGAATAGCAAAGGCTTATTTCAAATGAAATATCCGCGCTATAGGAAATATACACAAAATATTGAATGGGGATGAACAATGATTTTCATGGCAAAAAGAGGGGAAGTAAACATCGTAAGAAAAAGTACTTAACTATTGCTGGTTTTCAATCAACTCACCTTTTCGGCGCTAGCCGTCACGTGTCAAGAAGTTCCAACATTGTTCTCGGATTCCCATACAAATCCACTGACTTTAAAAAGAAAATTCAGATCGATTTCTTTAGTAAGCTCTCTAAATCGCGGCAAGAAAAGCTTCAATCAAGTTAGAAAAATGATATTTTGCTCTTATTTAGAAAGCTAGCTAAACAAACCAAGTAAATAATTCGTTTAAAAGTCAGTACACTCATAAGGAAATCCGAGAGCAATGTCCGAACTTATGGGTGACCGTAACACAATGCGACAGCATTTATACTACGTTATGTCCGTTATGGCTAGCGCCGAAAAGGTCAATTCCTAGAGAATGAAATAACAAAAGACACGGCTGCTATGTTGGATGTTATAACAAAAGGGACTAATGAAGAATCTTTTCTTAAATTCATCCAACATGGTGTCTGTGAAAACCATTAATTATCTTCCCCCGAGATTCTAAAGTAATCGACTTGATTTCTGTTCTTTCAGCTCTTGCAGGAATGCTGTTATCCTTAGCGATGGGCCTTCTGAGCGACACCCAATATGGAATGCGCATGGCATGTGAAGTGGAAAGCCAAATGACGTCAGTCGAAAGAGTGATGGCGTATTCAAAGTTACCTTCCGAACCAGGCTACGGGAGACAAAAGAAACCGCCAAAGGACTGGCCAAGGCAAGGCGGTTTGAGTCTAAGAGACGTGTCCATGGTGTATTTAGAAGGTGGACCTTGCGCTTTGAAAAGTATTAATATCGATGTTTTGCCGAAAGAGAAGGTCGGTATTGCAGGTCGTACTGGGGCAGGGAAATCCTCGATGGTTGCGTCGCTCTTCCGTATGCCGGAACCTCAAGGTCAAGTCCTTATTGACGGTGTTGATCTTGGCACCATCGATATCCAGACTGCCCGTAGATCCATGGCTGTCATCACACAGGACCCTGTGCTGTTCGCTGGCAGCATAAAGAAGAACCTAGACCCTTTTGACCATTTCACAGAACAGGAAATTTGGACTGCTCTTGAAGAAGTACAGCTAAAAACCAAAATTCGCAACCTTGTGGGGAAAATTGATTTCTGTGTAGGGGAGGGAGGGGCAGGTTTTAGTGTAGGTGAACGACAACTGCTGTGTCTTGCTCGAGCATTATTACAGAAGAGTAAGATTCTTGTGTTGGATGAAGCAACAGCCAACGTGGACTACCAGACAGATCAACTCATTCAGCAAGTAATCAGACAAAGGTTTGATAACTGTACTGTATTGACCATAGCTCATCGAGTGAACACCATCATGGACTATGACAAGGTAATGGTTCTTGACAAGGGTCACGTGGTAGAGTACGGCAATCCCAGAAGTCTAGCTGGGAAAGAAAACGGTTTCTTTGCGCGCCTCGTTAACTCGGGAATGTGAATTATTAATCTAATGTGAGCATAGAGGGTTTGCACCATCACGTGACGGCAGCCATGTTAGATGGCAGAAAAGATACAATCGTTTTACCACAGGGAGCCCAATATATATGTCCCCTATGGTATCTAATGTCGCTAATACGCATATGTACACCATAGGGAAATTATATGGGAAAACAAAGTCGCGCGCGAAAAAACAAAACGTTCTAGTGCATTTTTTACCGATTCTTTTTACTCTTAATTAATTATTCAATTTTTCCTTTTATCTAAATTGGGCTTCCTGTGTTTTTACATAAGAAAAAATTCACTTCCCGAGAGCAAAGGGATTCTATCGTAGCCACAGGCAGCCCAAGCTGTATATTATTATGGGCGATGGCACTTGATGGTGCAAAATAAACAACTATTGGATGAACTTCGGCATGATATCGTGAATTATCAAGACCAGTGTCGTGTTACTTGCCGAATCTGAAGGCCGAGGCGGATAAAAAAGCCAATGTCATGCGAAAACCGAATTCAATTCAGTAATTGTTTTATTATACATTTTGTAAACTAGGGTAAAGATTTAATTGTTTTCAAAAAGAAAATAGCAAAAGTATTTCAAACTCTGCAGTGACCTTGAGTAAACTGGACATTATAAAAAAAAAATTTTCAGAAAAGCCTACAGACAATACATTTATCATGTCAAGTCCAAACGATATCAGAAACTGGCTCAGGGCTTTCGGCCAATCAGAAGCGTGATAGTGAAAAATGTAAAATAACGTCTTATATGTTGTGCAGTTTATCTGATGAATCCACAGAGGTAACTACATGTTATAGTTCAGAGTGCGTTTGTTAACCTATAGGCGAAATATTATCGATCGGTCAATATAATGCTAAACCGACTCATTAAACTAGATTGAATAAAAAAGGTTTTCTCAGTTCACGGTGTCATGGTCAAATGTTGGATGAATCTGTATTCGTGTTTTTTTCTATTGCTGCATGGTCGAGAACTATCAACGCATTTTTCCAGTAAATGCACCACCGCATGAAAGCGAGATCTGGTTAGAAAACGCTTCAAACCGAGGAGATTCGTGCAAAACGTTTGAAAGCGAAGCACAAAGTGCCTCAAAGTGAATTTGCGGGTGTAAATTTCCTGCATTAACAAGAAGATGACAGAAATCCTAGGAATGAGTTACAAAACAATCCGTACAAAGTACTTCAAATTGGACTCGCGGGCTTCAATTAGTGCACAAACAAGATAGTCATGCGCTATGACAGAAATCCTAGTAATGAGTTACAAAACAATCCGTACAAAGTACTTCAAAGTGGACTCGCGGGCTTCAATTAGTGCACAAACAAGATAATCATGCGCTATGACAGAAATCCTAGTAATGAGTTACGACAAGAGAAAATGAACTAGTTCATATTCTCTTGGTTACAAAGAATTCCCGCGTTAAAAAAGAAACTTTCCTTTGGTTTTGATTGGAGAAAATCTACCCCAGTGTTCTTGTTTCCTTCAGAAGCCAGTTGAGTGCTTGGTGTTTCCCTTGTTCTCTCAGAACAGCGCCAACCGTCTCTGCGCATAACTCGTGATAGTTATTCAACCAGTCGATCTTAAAGGAGGGAAAAATTACAGTTAGAATGGATTCGAGAAAAGGTAAACGCACAGCAAACGTGTGCCAAATGTAATGAATATATGGCAAAACCAACGTGAATTCATTTGCATTAGGTTCGGCACATGTGGAATACGACTGGACCGCTTAGAATAGATCTGATCCGCCTTTTAGACCACGTACCATTCCCTGATAATAAGGTTTTTTAGACTGGAAGCAGTCTATTCTTCTTGGTCTTTATTTGGGGGGGGGGGGGGGGGGGAAATTTTTTACTTGATCGAGCAAGGACTAATGGCGAGACATGAAGCCCCTCGAGGGGCGAAAAACTTTATTTCCTAGTCTAAGTTTCACACCTTGTTTAACTAAAATAAAAACGACGGAACAGGTGTGATAGAGAAATTTATAACTAAACAAGGTTACAGTAGTTGGTGTGAATGGGGTATAAAAACTAATGTATCTTGTACTAGTAAACAAAAGAAATAATTCTCAGTGATAAGTGGCCAGAAATGAGAAGAAAAAAAACACAGTTAATTCTGTGACAAAAGGGTTTGATTTACCTCTTCTGGGGTGAGCATTGAAGGTATCAACATCTTGGTTTGTATTGGAAACTAAAAAAGCACAAACAACATAAAAAGTTACTCTGATCTCAGTGTTTTATAGATTTTTTCTTGAGCGCCGACAGCACCCCCAGACATCGTAGACTTACACACCACACTCCAGTTCCTCCCGCTCCCTTAAGCTTGTTTCTACATTTCCTATTCCGAAGTTGAGGAGGGAAAAACTAGGTGAGGTTGGCATTGAAGTGCAAAGACGTCGTCTTGGAAATATGACCACTAAATGAACAGTCCCACAATGCACCGCAAATCCAACTCGACCCAGTTTTTTCTCTTCAACCTCGGAATTGCTAATAAAGACTTACTCAAACATGTCCTACACTAGAACATTATAGGCCGATCTTTATTTAAACATTTTATTTGAACATATTACTTTCAATTTCAGTAGTTACTAAATGAGACATTCTCTTTCGATTTCTGGAGTCGGTTAGCTTGAAAAATTTTTAATGTTATATGAGGAAAAAACGTAAATAAAGATCGGCCTATTGTATTGTCAAAACAAACCATAAAACTTACACAAAAAGCACAATACTTACGAGTGTAATTGGCTCAAAACCAAGAAACCCTTTCCCCTGAAAGTTATTCTGAAAAAAAAGATGAACGTTTGATCAGAAAAACTGTGTCATTGCCAGTTGTTGCCGTGTATTCCCTTAGAATATACTGCTTTGCACTTTATAAGGTGCACAGTTCAGTTACCTTCAATTCAACTTGCTTTACTATATAAACATTCTCGATACGAATTCCAAATTTACCATCTTCGTAATAACCAGGCTCTAACAAAGAAGGAGATAAACAACAAAGCTGAACTTAAGAACTTTCTCTATATACGAAGTTTGTCTCCCCGATTAGTAGGGCACTTGTGCCCGGCTAGAAGATATAGAGACATTAATAAAGTTATTATTATTATTATAGTTCGTCAGCGAACTTCTGAAATTCCGAACAAACTTCGGAACTCAATTGTCAAAAGTTATGTGAAATCCACAGTAACATAACTAGCGATAGATAGAAAATACACATATAATGAAGTAAACGAAAAATAAAATAGGTTAAACAGATATGCCGTATACCTATAGTGATGTCCATCCCGGCTTCAAATGGCACTTCGTCTGGTTTGGGTCGAGAACTAATACTTTGTGGGCCTAAAGTACGAGGAAATAAGTGAGTGGAAAATCTTTTTTTAGAAAACCATTGCTGAAAAACGTATGAGTATTCACCAAATCTTGCAAGAAAACAAACATTGCTGATTGCAAACTTCGATTATAACGTTTAGCACTCGTTCACATGGGCCAAAAGGACCCAAATAAAACAAAAGATTCGTTCTCTTGTTTGACACTCAAAGGTCCTTTTGGTCCATGTGAACAATTGTTAACCAATTAGAACACAAAAATTGGACGAGATTTTTAGGGAGAAACATTTCAGTACAAACATGTGGAAAAGTTCTACATACCATAAAAACAAATCTTTGACCGCATTGGTTAATACCATAAAATATAATCTTTTCTTAGCTTCCAAGAAATGATCTTAACTTTTGCACTTTTGAAGCTGATTTTGAGATTATTTTCGACACATATATATTTTTTATTGGAAGCAGGTGATTCGTTTTTAAGCCCTCTTTTTTTAACAGTAAAATCATCAGTCCTACCTTCATGAACATTCAAGAATGCTCCAACACCATGTCCTGTGCCGTGTTGGTAGTCGAGCCCAACATCCCATAATGCTTTACGAGCCAACATATCAAGTCGATGACCTAAGACAATGGATACAACATCCCATTATGACATCATCACGGCTCTCTTGTGCTTTTAGGGATTATTCTCTTCCCCAGTCCCCCCTCCCACCCCCGCAAAAATTAACTTCTGAATTCTAATTCGAGGATTCAGTGAGGTCCACATGTTTGTTGGCCAATGTCTTTTAAGGCAATGCTACGAAAATATCGTCATTTTGAGTTGCAAGATTTTGCCTTCAGATTAAAAACTCGCCTTTTTGACTTTCCGAGTTTCTTGGTCGGAAACCCAAAACCTCGCAACTAAAAATGACAAATTTTTCGCAGCGTTGCGCGAAAAATCATCGTTGCAAACCGTCTCGTATAATATTGGCTTTGTTTAGGTTATTTTCTTTGTTCATTCTACTATATTTATAGTGTTTGCCGTAATGCAAATCGTGTACCTGATGTTTTGTTGGGGAATGTTGCCATGGCAAGAGCAACGTGACCCTTGAACACTCGTGTAAAACATTCCTACAAAGTAAACAAATGAAGAGAAGAAAACATTCAATGAAATTAATTCACTAGAAAATCATTTTTCCATCAAGAAACGTAGAAATTTACACGCACTAGATATCCCCCCTCCCCCCCCCCCCCCCCATGGTTGATGATAGTGAATTCCATGGACCTTGATCACACGGCGCCATGTTTATTCCCATGAGCGAGAATAAAACCTGATGGACCACGCGTAACCTCATTCTAAGGGGCAGTGTGACGCTACTGTGGGGAAAATCTGCATTGAGAAATGCCCATGGATTCTAAGTAAGCGGCATCATTTTTATTCCAGTTAAGAATAAAAATCTTTAGTCATGCTGGGTAAAGTCAGGCATCATGGCTGACACGTCAAGAAATGTCACTTTAAATCRTACACGTCCTACTTTTGAAGCATCTCTAGAAACGAACTGCTAAAATGTTGTGCACTTTGTCATCTTGTTTGTCAGTTTGCCAAACTTTGTGCGTTACTTGAGAGAGCCACTGGCTGCCCAGGTTCGATTGGGCAACGTGTAACTACGGCAACAAAATCAGGTTTCACCTGTTCATGTCGGGTGGGCTTTCCAAAGTGGACTGTTCGAGTCACATCCGTGGTTCCATCCCTGAAAACAAATCAAATCAAGAATGTTTCATTAGACCAGTCCATTTCCACTCGACCAATCAAAATGGGACCAGGCGGAGCCATAGGCCTTTTCTGAGTTCCATAAACAGGATGTATTGTGGTCTAGATTTGGTACAAGCAACACCATATAAGGCATGATGTTCGTACTGAAGCTAGACCACAATGCACCATGCTCGCTATCTTCAAAAAAAGGTCTCTTACGTCACTTATAATCGTGCCATAAACACATCACAGTCAAATAAAATTCACTTATGTGGATGTGGGGAACTAACTGGGTAATAATGTGCTTCTCAGAGACTGGGCAAAGCTATTTGGGTAGAATCGGCTACAAAAACCCGAAAAGACCTTTTACACTATAGTTTTTAGATCCAAAAAAGGTGAAAATGCTATGTCTGCCAAAACCCGGAAAACAATTTATCACTATATCCGTCCTCCTACAAAAGCCGAAATTTGTACTTTCTACAAAAGATCTTATGTCGAGGGTCTGTGTCTCATAAGTGTATTATTTAGAAAACTTACATGTACTGAGCTCCTGAGTCACATAAATACAAACTGTCCTTTGTAATCATACGATCAGTTTCTTCTGTTGGTCTGAGAAGAAAAGTTAGGTGGATCAATATACTCAAGGTACAAAAAAATGGCTGATGAGACCCAACAGAAGCAATTGGTTAGAATAGTGATAAAGAAGATAGATGTGGTTTGTGATGACGATGATGATGGTAATGGTGACGATAGAGATGATAGGAAAATAATGATGGTGATAATGGTGATGATGATACGTACCGATAGCGATGGTAATGATGATGGTGATGATAATGAAGATGATGGATTAGATGTCTTTTGTGATGATTATGATGGTGGTGATGACGATGATGACGATGATGATGATAATGATCAACACCGTTGAAGACGATGGTGATGACAATGTTGACCGATGATGACGATGGCGAAGATGATGATTATGATGGCGGTGATGACGA